GAGCGCTCCCAAGGAGGCAGAGGGACCGGCTGACCGTCCTAAACTGGGCAATGAGTGTGATGCCTTTTTCCTTCTGGGGTTATCAGTGACTGGATCTCCATTATTTTCCTGCACAAAATGAATCTGATCATGTGAAGTTCTACACATTACTTAAGATGAGTTATGGGTTCAATTATGCTAAATTGGGTTTTTATTATTATGAGGCTATTTCCTGCAGAAAGTGTGAATGTGCTTTGGGGTGGATGATGAAGGGTCAGATGTTTGAATGTGTTTTAATCTTTTTGAGTAACCGAACTTATACCTGTGGTATGGTTACACTGACTTGTCCTCCCCACGAGCATGTGAGGGTGGGCCTGACCCCACCCCCACCCCCACCCCCACTGCTCCAGGTGGACAGAGGGGAACGTGCTCAGTCCCTCTCTCTTCAGTGAAGGGTAGTGGGTGAGCTTTGGCCAGAGCTGGCCCGGTGCCAAGTGGCACTACAGAACTTTCCAAGGACTCAGGAGTTGCTTGGGCTGTGCTGTTAGAATCACCTAGGAAGAAAAATAATATGGGGCTGGAGATTCAGTTCTCTCTGCAGGTTCAACTGAACATGTCTTTGTGGATTTAAATATGTGCTAGCATTATGTAGAAAAGATTGGCAATAGAATTGATCATGATGATGGCTTTTAGGTGGCCAAAGGCAAATTGTGAGTTCATGGTTTTTGATGAAGGTGAACTTGGGCCAAGTTTTGGAGTATTTTCAAAGCCACACGGGAGCCTCCTGGGTCATGTCAGAGGGAGGGTGGGCTCCCATCAACTGCAGGTGCAGCACCCACTAGACCCTCCCCATGTGCCCCACCGGACTTTTGAGCAAGAGGAACCCACACAAGCAGGCTGATGTTCGTGCTGCCTGCTGTGCTATGAGTAATGAAGTCTTTTGTCTCAGACCCTGGAGTCTCGTGTCTTCTGCCTGTGTCTGTGACATTGTGGCAACTTACCTGATGATGGCCCGCAAGCATGGCAAAGGTAATCCCAGACCCAACCAGCCATGGTAACCCCATTCCCCACTGCCAGCAAAAGGTACAGAGGTTGTCCTGGGAACCAGTTCTGGACTTTAGGACCTGAAGGGACACATGCTGGGGACTTCCAAGAAAGATTTTCCTATCGATAGGAAGGACACTTACAAGGAGGGGCCTGGTCCCATTCCTTCCTGCTTTTACTTTAGGACCTGAAGGGACACATGCTGGGGACTTCCAAGAAAGATTTTCCTATCGATAGGAGGGAGACTTACAAGGAGGGGCCTGGTCCCATTCCTTCCTGCTTTTGGATGCTGTTTTTGAGATGACATGAAGCTTAGTGCTGTTGTGACCCTTGGGATGACTCAGGGTGACATCACCAACCCACCTAAATGGCAAATAAAGATGTACAGCCTGGGTCCTCCAGGACATGGCCAAACTGCTGAAGTGACCCTGGAAGGGCTCACCTCAAACGTCTCACTGAGTGAGATGGCAAATGCCCTTGTGCCTACCATGTGTTCTTCACACTTAGAAAGGAGCTAACTTGAGCTTATTGAGAGAAGGTTATCAGGCCAGGACTTTCTTGGAATATGATAAACATGCCTGAATTCCCAGGTGATGGTGGGGCTGGGGCAGGAGCAAGCCCTGATGTTCAGCAAGGCCAGGCTCCACGACCTGAGATGTGTCTGGGCCAGAGACACACAGGGCAGGCTTTGGTTAGCGCCTCAGATCTTAGCAAGGCACAGCCCCCTAGGCATCTGGAAGTGGGGGTCTCTCTCCCAGGACAGCTCAAGTTGGGAGAAGGGCAGATCTCACTCCGAGGCACTGGCATGAATCATTATCCATGACAGTGGCTGGTGTGTCCAGAGATGGGGGTTTCCTTCTCTGACCCTTGATCGACTCTTGTCCACAGAGGCCTGGGGGAGGACGGTGCAGGAAGGCAGCATCTAACCTTGCCTGGGAGGAGGGGGCTGCCAGGGCAGAAAGGCCCCTGATGAGGTCATAGGTGGGCTAAGTCCACGGGAGGGGGCACAGCCCCTGGAAACCAGCCCTTTCTCAGGACATGATCTGCGCTGCCCAGTTCCTCTCCCACCAGACGGTTCCGAGGAGTCTCTTCACACACTGTCTTCGCTCTCCTTTCCACGCTTCCACACGCTCAGATGGAGCTTCCATCCCACAGTCTGTGGAAACTGTTCACAACACGTCACCAGTGGCCTTGTGGTTGACCCAGTGGGCGTTCTAGTCCACACCCTACTCAGCACTGCACCCCATCCTCCCTCTGAGCCACCCACTCCTCTCTCCCCCAGGCCCTTTTGGCCTCCTTTGTTGGTGGGCTTCCCACCACGCTTTATGCTCTCAGTTGCACGACACACCAGCTGTCCTACCTCCTGACTGCTGCACCTGTGGGTCTCAGCGTCAAGGTCGGCTCCCCCAGGGCCCACCCTGACCACCCACCTGAGGCCTCCCTGCCCCTCGCAGGCCCTAACTCCCCTCAGCCTGGCTCCCATGTGCACAGGGACGGTCACTGCCTGGGTTAAGCATCAGGCCCCAGCCCAGGGCTGGCACGAAGCAGATGCTCCATGAGGACTGGTGAGCTGATGAGTGAATTAATGCGAGGACAAGGGGACCAGCTACCCGGCTTCTCTGTTGCACCTGGCCACCTCAGTAAGCTAGGCAAGAGCAATCTGGAATGTGGCCGGGCCCCCACCCTGTCCCCAAGGGAGACCCCAGAAGACAGAAACCTCAGACCACAAGCCTGACAAAGGTCCCTTGCTTCCCAGCCCAGCGATGGACAAAGCCAAGCTCCACATTATGGAAAGAGTGGGAACCAGGCACAGGCCACTCAGGCAGGGAGGCGCAGTCTTGACATCTGTTCAGATGCTCTCGAGACAGAGGGGCAAATAGGCCACTACACCAGGTTAGGAGAGGTGGAGCCAGGGTCCCTGGCCCTTTTGGCAAGAGGGACAGCCAGGACTTGGGCCACCACTGTGGGACACTGCTGGAGAGGGAGAGGAGGAAGGCACTGACCAGCACTGAGGAGCATGGTCACCCCAGGGAATAGTTCCCCAGAACAGGTGGAGAGGAGCTAGGGAGTGTATAGGGCACAGTGCCTGGGGGGGTCTTTGTGCCCAGGGCCCTCTTCTCTGCCCTGAGAGTAAACTAAGGTAGGCTGGTGAGTCCCACTTCTGACACCAGACAGGAGGGTCCTCATAGGCAGAGCTGACCCCATGGCAAAGCTGCCCATCACTGCCTCCCCAGACCAGAGGGCCAGCAAGGGGCTCCACCAGGAAGACTCATGAGAAGCCCAGAACCTAAAAGACCTCACCTGCCCACATCATCCTTCAGGCCATCCCCATCTGTTTCTGTGGGACTTTCCAGTGAGATACCCAGAACCGGCAGGGACTGAGGTTTTGTCACCATTCAGGAGAGCCAACCAGGACAGCATGGGGTGGGCACTGGCTTCAGCAGGAGAAGAAAACTGGCTCCAGCCCTGGAAACCCAGAATAGGAGCTGCCCATCGGGCCCTGCCCCACCGGATGGCTGCGACTCCTGCAGCCCCTCACTCTCCACACCCCACCCATGGCCTTTCCAGAACCACTCCTCCCCCACCCTCCCTTCCTCCCCCACACACACCACTCCCCTACCCCACAGACCCTCCATTTCCCAACACAGCCAATTCATAATGCATGCACAGCCCAGGGAAGGGCCGGTTAGCTCTACTCCCCATGCCAGTTCCCCACAGCCCATGTGGGGTGCTCACAGAGGTGCTACTGAGGGCATCATCAGAGGTGGGGCTGAGGCGCAGGTTTGGAAGGCAGGGGATGCTGGCCACACCTGACAGGGACAGGATTATAGCCACAAGGTAGTCCCTGTGAACCTGAGAACAGCGGTCCACAAGATCTGTTGCATGGAAGGCAGGCAACTCCCAAAGACCAGATCCCAGGAAGCAGCCAGCTGGGTGGCCAGTGGGCCCAGAGCTGGGTGTGGGGGTGGAGGTGCTACCTGCTTGTGGGGCTCTGTCACCTGCCAGCCATGCCCTGAACTGCTGGTGTCAGGAGGGGGGTTCAGGTTGAACTCACAGTGCCCAGCCAGCTCTATGCCCTTCTGGAAGTAGTTATAGGTACAGCCAGCAAAACCTTGCCGCCTTTGGGCCATAGGGATGGTGGTCCTTGCTTCAGGGGAGCTGAAGACCAATGCCGTGAGCATGTGCATCCCATGCCTGGGGCTCCACAATGCTACATGTGCCACCTGAGGAGATCACCATCACCCAACCATAGGGTAATGTATCCTCAAACAGCCATTTCAACAGCCTCATAAAGGGCCCCTCCGCACATGCTACAGAGACCCTCCTGGGCCTGGTGAATCCACAGGGTCACATCACAGACACAGGGGCTCAGATGGAGATCAGGTGAGAGGACGCCTGCAGATGGGCTTCAGTGCAGTGTGCTGCCTGGGCCAGGGCACTACCTGCCCCACAGGTGTCTGGGGCAGGGCCAGGCTGGGGTGACGTAAGGGCCGGGTTCCATGCTCCTAGCCTTGGGCTACATCAGCTTGGGAGAAAAGCTGGCACCTGATCCTATCTGACTTTGGCTGTCCTGGACTGGAGGAGCCTACAGGCAGAGGGGCTCCCATGGAGGGGACAACCAGGGGTGTGGGGGCATTTCCAGGCCTGGGAGAGATGGGGTGTGTATGTGTGTGCGTGCGTGCGTGCATGCGTGTGTGTGTGGGATGGGGATCGAGGTATCCCAGGAAGAGCAGAGTTGGGGTTATGGTACCTCTAGAGGTGGGAACATAGACACCAGAGCAGAGGGGTTGTCTCTGGAACACGTGCATGGGTGGTCCTCCTGAGAGCCCCTGGGGAAGAGCCCCGGGAAGTGAACAGGCCCACCTCACCAGCACCCCTTACTCAGACGATACCCACTCAGTTTCCCTTTCCACACCCCTCCACGCCACCCCCCGCCCAGCTGTTAAAGACAGGGAGGCAGGAAACAGGCAGAGCAGTGCGGCTTTGGATACAAAACTGTAAACAAGTCTTTAAAATGACAGAGGCCTCCTTGGCCCCAAACTCTGAGGCAGAGTCCCCAAGAAGAGAGCAGATTTCCACTCACACTGGCCTCCCTTCCCACCCGGGCGCCCAGCAGACAAGGGCCAGGCCACCTCCAATCGGGCCCAGGCCTCACGCACTGGGGAGGGCTGGTGGAGCGGAAGCGGAGGGTCCATGGTCCGAGGGATTCCTGAGATGAAGAAGCGGCTGCGGGCCCCCCCAGGCACTGGCACTCACCGCACCTGCCCCCGAGGGGAGGGGAGCCCGCCCCCATCCCCATCCCATGCAAACCGTGTGCCCGGCAGGCCCCCCCATCTCTGCGCCCCGGGGGCATCCCCAGGGGCCGTGCGGGCCCTGTCACGTGTCCAGGACGTCGCGCGTGGGCGAGGGGCCACGGGGGCGCCCCGGAGGGCCGTGCAGCGGGGGTGGCTGGGACACAGAGTTGCGCTGCGGTCCTGGCGGCTGCAGCTCCAGCGCGAGCGTGGGCGGCGGGAAGTCGCGCACCTGGCGGCGGTACTCGAGGAAGGTGCAGGCCTTGGTGGCGAGCGCCACCACGTTCTTGCCGACGAAAATGGCCGAGACGCGGCTGTCGCGAAAGAGCGCCATGTTGGCGGCGCGCGCCAGCACGGCCACCACGTTGACCGTGGCGAGGCTGAGCACCGGGTAGAGCATCATCTTCTGCGGCGCGATGTGCTCGCCCTGCATGCTGACCTCGCTGAGCGCCACGCACGGCAGCACCAGCAGCAGCATGTAGCAGTAGAAGAAGGTGAGGCCCTCGGCCCACAGCGGCAGCCCGGTGCGCGGCGGCTCCCACAGGTTGGCCTGCATGTCCAGCAGGTCCAGCAGGTCGAGCGCCACCCAGAAAAGGCGGCCGCGCAGGTCCTCGCGCTTGCGGAAGGTGCGCACGTACTCCATGCGGTCGAGGGCCACCAGCAGCAGGAAGAGGCCGGGCACGCACACCGACAGCAGCAGCGTCAGCGCCTTGCGCGCCACCGGGTCGGCCGCGCCGCGCCGCGCCGCCTTGTAGTTCTGGAAGATGAAGTAGAGCTTGATCTCCAGCACGAAGACGTAGAGGAACCAGAGGATCATGGCGTAGCCGCGCTTGGCCGTGCGCACCTCGGCGCCCACCCACACGGCCACGTAGCGCAGCACCAGCAGGAAGCACACGTCGCCCACCAGCACGATGATGCACACGCCGATCTTGCGCGGACCCTGGTTCTGCTCCACCAGGTAGGCGTCCATGACGGCCATGCTGCCCATGATCACCAGCGTGGTCAGGCACACGTGGCGCCGGTCCGGGGGTGGCAGCACCATGGTCGGCCGCCGGGGCCCGGCCTGGGGGCGCGCGCGGGGCCCCACTCGAGGAGGGACGAGGCCCTGGAGCGGCCTG